CATGTTGTTAATCTAGGTCGACCGACTTTGCTCTAACTGTGCATTTTACTTCTATATGCAAATATAATACACATTTCTGAGTACCCCAAATCCTTTTCGGTTCTTAGCTTCGATGATATGACCTTCTCGAACCCGACTACGTTTTTTCAATTAGGTGTATATATATAGAGAGAGAGAGTGATAGAGAAAGATAAAAGTTAAAAAAAAGGATACGTATTATGATAAAAAAATCATCTAATATTTATATAGTAATTTATTCATGAATCGAATGCTCCCTTAAAAAGATACTTTTTAAGATAATTTTAAAAAGTGCCAACAGATGCACAACTTCTAATGAACAGGACTTATCAACTAGCCTACACTTTTGAATACAGCGTCTCGCAAGGTTCTATCCTCGGGCCTCTCTTCTTTGTGAATCACATAAACGACTTGCCATTGTGCTTAAAAAGATCTTTGATCAGCACTATGCCGATGATACAGTCATATATTCTCTGGAACCGATGTAAGTACGATCAAGGTTGCTTTACAAGACGATCTAAATCGCCTTGAGCTGTGGATGGAGGCAACTGGTACTAAATCAGAGCAAGACGAAAGGACTACTCTTTGGAACAAGACAGAAGTTAGAAAACACTGCAGATTTCATTCTCCAACTCAAAGGAAAGACCATTGAAAGAGTCATAAAATTCAATTATCTTGGGTCTTCTCTCATGTGTTCGACACGGTCTTACCTTCAAAGCTGCAAAATGTGTTTCACCAGTATAATTGAACCAGTTTTAACCTATGCTGACACTGCATGGGGAGGTTTATCCGTTGGTAGTCGCACAAACTTGCAGAGGCAACAAAATCGAGCTGCAAAATGCGAGTTATCACCAGAAGAGACTCTTCTAAAGATGCTTTAGAAGTATTGAACTGGACTGATTTAGAGACAAGTAGAAAAATCCATAAGTGTTTGCTAGTATTTAAAATGCCTGAATAATCTAGTCCCTAAGTAGTATCTGAGTGATTGTTTCACAAGGAACTCAAGTGTTCATCGTTACAATGCTCGTCGTAAATCTGACTTGCATTTACCAAAACCTAAGCGCCTTCGTTAGGTAAACGAACTTTCAGATATTCAGGCTCAATGCTTTTCAATTCACTTCCAGCAAATATCAAATTAATTACATCTGTATAAATTTATTCAAAAGGTTCATTAGGTCATTTTTTCATAGTCTCATTTATATTAATATTCATTAGTACTAAAACCTTTTGTTTTTTTCGTTAGTTTCATATTTAAATTTTCCAATTTTTCTTATTGCATTTTTTCTTCGTAAGACCAATTAGTAGTTTTAATTCTAGCTTGATTATATTAGGATTTTTAGATATTATTATCGTTTCTAATATTGTAATTTAGTGCAGTAGACTTAGAACTTAGAATAGTCATTTTTTAAATTGAAAAATAAGTTTTGCAGGGCTCCTATGGATACCAGCTATGCTGAATGGGCCACCCTGTTGAAATAAGTTATCCTATCCTGTTTCAGTGTAATCGCATATTACCGCTTATCAACGCTTGAAACCTATTTAGAATAACTTCAATCGCTCTCTAGAGCCGCGTTAAATCGAAAGGAATTAGAGATCAATCACAGTCAAGTTAAATGTAATCAACGTTCATTCGAGCAAATAAAAGGCGAGTCACGAGAATCTCTGCCACTACAGGGCCTTAGTCTTATCAACGCTTGAAACATGTTTAGAATAACTTCAATCGCTCTCTAGAGCCGTGTTAATCAAATCGAAAGGATTTAGAGATCAATCACAGTCATGTTAAATGTAATCAACGTTCATTCGAGTAAATAAAAGGCGAGTCACGAGAATCTCTGCCACTACAGTGCCTTAGTCTTCCTCGTTTTCACCACAGGATTCCCACCCCTCTCGAAGAGCAACAAAAACCAAACCATCTAAAACCCTAGCGAGTAGCCTGTGGAGGAGGACTTCAAAGCAAATCAATGGAAATCAAACCTCCAATAATGAACTGGATGTTTGAACCTTGATAGGAACGAACGAACTCGTTTGACTGTGAATATTATTACTCGGCTTGGGGTCAATGTATAAAACTTTAAAACATAAACTGTCAACTCAGTCAATAAGTACATAATACTTATTGAACAAAAAATACAGTCGATCTTTTTTAAATTACAGGTAATGTATTGTTAAATAGCAATGCAGTAAAAATACAAAGATATGGAGAGCACATACTTGCCTGACCGGCGTCAACATCGCGTAGCCATGTCTATAAGAAGGGAATCCTGTTCTCAGATATCTGTAAAGGAAACTACATTCATCTGTTGACCAATCAGTGTCGTGTTGCTATGGAAAGGTGACGGATGTGACATTTCTACTTGCCCTATGTCTTTCTTCAGCCATGCAACCATCACGCGCCTATACGCCCTTTGCCAGAACTATATATTTCAGCGAAAATTCTAGCTAAAAGAAGTCTTAGATACGAAGATTCAAGCGACTGATTATGCCAGAGATTTTGTTGAAATGTGTGGGTTCGCCATCTTGGTGTCTCATTGAGGGGCACCAATATGGCGGCCAAATCACGAAGGTTAAAAATAATGTTTTAAACAACATTTCAAATTTTCAATAACAATCATAGAAATAAAGTTAACAATCATCTACTAAGTTAAAAACGTATTATTTCATTCAAATTTTCCCTTTTCTAATGCTTTGAAAATGCGTGACAGAATTGCGATTGCGTTACAGAATTGGACTCCCAATAAATCTAAAATCAAACATCGATAATACAAAATTTTTTCGGTAAGCTTGTCTTATAATGCTATGAACGAAATATTCGACAAACAGTTCTGTGGGGTGATTACTTTGGATTTTAGCTTTTTGATGGTCACGTGAAAACCAAATGCCAATTATTCGAGTCAGCTGGATTACCAGTTGGACATTTGAATTTTCAATTTATTTAAAATCTTCATTGAAATTTTAAAAAATTCTTGTTTTAAGTGACCAAATTCTGAATATCGATTCCTTATTCTTACTAATTTTCGCGATTTCTAAAAAATATCGCTAAATTTAGAGCTTAATACGCGCGAATAAAAGATTTTGCGAAATTAGTACACTAATTTAGTAGTTTTAATCAAATTTTTGTTGCAATTGCGAAAATTAAGAAGGAAGGAAGGAAGGAAGGAAGGAAGGAAAGAAAGAAGAGAATGGAGCAACGAACAACCAAAATGACAAAAGCTCTATTTGGTAAACGAGCAGATTTCTCTCGACATTCCAGACAAGCAGGCAAAAGCAATGATTAAATATTTCTGACATTATATTCAACCATTACATTCAACTTCTCCATGTCACCTCGACTTCATCTGTTCTAAACCTACAAAGCATAAGAGCAACACATCACATCATTAACATATTTGCAGTATAAACCTTGATATCTCCTAGATGCATTACTCAAACCATATAAAAATATTTTACTGTTCAACTTTTTACATCATTTACAATCAATGCTGAAAATTTTGAGTTAGGTGTCTTAGGACCCGTCCACACGTATCCGGAAATTTTTGTATCCGCAAATCAATTTTTTGCGAATACGAAAATGTTTGCGTCCACATGCAGCGCATTCGAATCGTTTTCACCGTCCACACGTATCCGTTTTCGTAAAATTTGCGGATACGGACACAAAAATTTGCGGACACGTGTGGACGCAACCCGTATCCGTAAAAATAATTTGCGGATACGAAAATTTGCGGGTACGTGTGGACGGGGCCTTAGGCCCTTTAAATGTAACAACAGAAGAGACCCCAGAGGTTAGAGGCGCCACCTACTCATTACTATGAAGAGACTATGAAGAGACCCCAGAGGATAGAGTCGCCACCTACTCATTACTATGAAGAGAATATGAAGAGACCCCAGAGGTTAGAGGCACCACCTACTCATTACTATGAAGAGA